TCCTTCCATCTTCACTGCAGATTGCCAGGAGGACATGGCTCCAGGAGTGGCTTCCACACTCTCACTGCTATCTTCATTACTGGCACTCTGGCCCTACCAAAATGAGCAGCAATCGCTGCAAATGCATGCACCAATGATGCAGTTCTTGTTCCAAAGAGAACAGTGAAGCTAGGGCATTTCCAAGCATATCCTCTGCTGACTGAGTTCAAGATTCTCTAAAAGCAGGGAGGCTTACAGGCTGCTCCTCCTAATGCATTGTCTGAAAATGGACCATGAAATTTTTTTACAGTTCTCTGTATCAAGTTATAGCTCTCCTCCAGAGATTAGTCTGGTTCATGTAATCTGGTTTCTGAATTATGAATAGAAAATGCCCCCACATCCGACACTGGAAAGTCTTCAGAAAACACGGCCTGCGTGGAGAGTTGTAAGAGATGGAACTGGTGGTGGTGCGATGCAATCCCCAAACCCACCTTTTTTTTGTGATCTGCTAGAGGCCCTTCCAACCACAGTTGACAAGAATTGTGGTGGTTCAATTTCCAAGCAACAAACATAACACAATAGTGTTAAGCTCCAATATAAAACAGGCCACAACTGCTAGAAGGGAAAGGGAAAAACCCAAACACACTGCCCTCTTGGGAAAAAAACAGAAACGCTAGATTCAACTCACACATGTAATGGCATTGTGCTTGCTTTGCATCACAGCCTTCCAAAAACTGCTACATCACCCCATACCTTAAATGTTACCTATCCCTTCCCACAGCCCCGAGGAAAGCTGAGCAAGGACTTGGCCTCTGATGCAGAATGACCAAAAGGTGTTAACACTGAAAGCTGTGCTACTGATTCATGATTATCTTTCAGACAGTTTATGAGAAGCAAAGCCTTTCAGCACATTCACTATAACCCAGCTACTGTAAATAAAAGTAATCAGGAGCACCGTAAAGCAGAGTATTATGAAATCCCCTGCCACGCCATGCAAATTAAAAAACAGGATCTAGTCTTCTGTCACTCTGAGCTATCAGGTAGGTGATCCCTTTTTTCTTAGAAATGCTGATTTGGATATCAGAAGGCCAGTTAGCATAAAGTCACAGACACTATCAGACGGGTTATCACATTTATAACTTCTATGGAAGGACACCTCATTCTGCTGCCAGTGCAAAGAGACTGCTTCCTTTGTAAAAAGGGGAAAAGGGAAAAGCTAATCACAATCCATTGTTTACCTAAAAAGGCACCTTTTTTTCTACTGAATTGCTCTATTGTATTGCTGTACACTTGGGTAATTGTAATGTCTGCCTTCCAGCTAAAAAGATTTCAAAAGCAGAGCTGGGGGGAAAAAACAAAACAAAACTATGAAGTGGTCAAATTCCAAAGCATACAACCCTGGCCTGAGGGCCCAAGTGACTGACACCAAGTTCAAGGCCCATAACAGGAGAAGGCCTCATAGCTTCAAGTCCTGCCCTCTCGTCAGGAAGTAGCCCCTGTCCATAGCCCCCTCAACCCTCCATTTACGCTGGTATGTCTGTGCTTTAAAAATAAAATCCTGGGTTCTCTTCCCTCCCCTCCCCTCCCCTCCCCATCACTGAAGGCAAGGTCAATATAGATTGTGGTTTTTTTTACAGTTCCAAGCTTCCATGCATCATTTTTTTCCCCAGTCCATGCAAGCCTGGTCATTTTTCTTCCCACTCTCAGCAGCCTCCATCAACAACAACAGCTGGTTTGTCTCGCCTATCTTGTCCGCAAGCAAAGAAACTGGAAGTGGCAGTGGCGATGGGCGTGGTCCCTTCTGAGAAGTTTCTTCCTTTGCGCGCCTGCTTGTAAAAGAGATTTGCTCTCATGTAATAAATCTACCCAGGACCTTGGAACAACTCTTTAACTACACCTTTTCCATTTGGGACAAAGTTCATTCTGGGCAGCACCAAGATGCTTTGCCGCAGTGTTCAATGAGCACCGGCCCTTCTCCCTGGGCTGCTGAAGTGGGATGAAAGGCTTCGGTCGTTGAATTGGCACCACGCTCCTCAAATGCTCACCCCGAAGGCACAATGTTCCTAGTCCAACTAAATGCGGTTGACTGGATCCTCATGCCCAACTGGGGCCTATAGGGAGCGTGTCCAGTCAGGTTTTCCAGTTCAGAAGCCATGGGAGGTGCTGGGCAAGTAGGAAGCAAAAGAAACCGCGGTCCCCATATTCCTGTTTCAGCCAGGCAGTGCTGGGATGGAAACCTGACGTCTGAACTGAGCTGTGAACAGCAGCCAAGACTGTGCACGGACCTGGGCAAATTCTTCTCGTGATTCTCAGCCAAACACACAAACCAGCCCCCAGAAGCAGATTTCTGTGGACACAGTTTATTCTGCCAAAAGTAGCCTAGATTTGTGGATCCTAAAGAAAGGGAGGCAAGGGGAGCAGACCCCCCTGCCCCGCCTTCCCAAAGCAACGAGCCTTGCTCTATACTGCCCAGTGTCTTTGTTCAGGGCCTAGGAATCTGCAGTTGGCCTGCTCAGGAGAATGGAACTTGCACCCAGCCCCACAGACTGCCATTGCTCAGGGCCCACTGAATGAAGTGATACATGGAGCCCCAATGGACTCCTTAAGCCAGCCCTCCCGCTGTCTACAGAGCTGCTAGCAGTGGAGACTGGCCCCTTCCAAGGGACTCTCAGGAGGCTGCAGCGCTGTGGAGATTCAGCTGGACGCCTCGCGGCCTGGGGCCAGCCTTCAGGCTAACGCCAGTCTTGTCTAGAGAAAGCACCAGTCTGGATGGATTCAGAAAGCACCACAGGGACCAATTTAAAACTGAAGTCCAAAAATGTGGCAAACAGTTTCCCATGGCTGTCATATTTCTTTTTACCCAGGGAATCTGACAGCTGGGGATGGGCTCCCACAAAAGCCCCTGACAGTCCCAAAATAGCGCAGCCCACTGAAACCGCTCATGGTTAAACTGTCAAATCCAAAGCAGCAAATCCATCCTCAACTTTTTGTCGGACCAACTTCCCAGTGTCTAAAAGCGCCAGATTCACTGCTGGTGCAAGCACCTCCCTCCAACCACGGCCTCTGTGCTCTGTGACACAACTGATGTAATTCACGCCAATTATGTAATGGCTGGCACTCATGCCCGCAAACAAGCAGAAGCTGTGGTTTGCTCTTGGCCTCCAAATCCTGACATGTTTAGGAGAGACGATTCAGGGACCCGAGAAATTCTGGGGCTACAGTCCTGTGGCGCCTGGAGGCTGCCTGGCTGGGAAAGGCCATCCTAGAAGAGACGTTTCTGGAGCACTCAGAAGGGGGCAACCATGAGTTCCATGGAGGAGGTGGGGGCTCTGCAGCATCACTTCCAGCACTCCCCTCCTGGCCCATCTTGTATGTTGCATTTCCTAGCCAAAGTGCACTGTTGAGGGTTTTTCTAGGTAAATGGCAGATTATGAATATGGTGAATATCAAAACAAATGGATTTAATATACCCCGGAACAATCAAGGTTTTGCTTTGATCTATCAATTTTGGGCATTTCGTTTTTTAAAATCACTTTCTGACATTATAGGATCTTTCTCACAAACACACAGTGTAAGAAAGAGAATCACACCCACATTATAAGAATGTATACTTACAAAAATTCAATTAAATTGTAGAACATTCATTATTCAAATGAGCAGTCTTCTTGGGCAACAAGAACAAGTAACAAGAGGAAATTTGATTTAAATCAATGATTTAACTGCACAGTTTCCTAGCTTGATTGAACTGAAGATTTAAATAACCTTGACTTCAACCAAGCTGTTTTACGCATCAAAAGCCGAGAGCTTTAGGAGGTTACCTTTATGAGATTCACAGACCCTCTAGAGATACAACAAACAGGATTCAGAACACAGCCAGCCGCAAATAAAAACACTAGATTTAAATGCAGAACCAGAAATGATGGAAATAAAGGAAATTAAATTATCTAAACACAACTACTACTGCTAGGTTCTTTCTCATCTCACACACCTTTAAGTCTCTCACCTCTAGGCTCCACCCTAAGCGGTTAAATACTTCTTTAGAGAAACAAGAAGGCAAAATTAGAAGTGGAGGACGTAGGTCCAACGGCACGCAGCTGGACTAAGAAGCACTGCTGAACCAACCGAAAAGGTCAAGACAGAGAAAACTGACATGTGCAAGAGCTTTAAGATGCTGTCCAGAAAACCCCCAAGAGATAAATTATTTCTCAAAATGGATAATGGAGGAGGAGGAGGAGTTACAAAGAAGCCTCTCCTCCAGAAGATGCTCAGATACTTGTGAGCAGATGCCAAGCAGGGCTTTCCCTTCAAGGGCCAGAGCGCAACTGACAGGAGACACCTGGCAGAAAGGGGGAGTCTGGACAGATGGACGAGTGACCTGACTTGGGCAAAGAACTCCACTCCTGAGGCTGGGCAGAAGTTGTGGAAGTTGAAATGAAGCAGCAAACAAACCAGTGAACCCGACAGGCCTGTTCACCCAGCTCTTCCATCTGACAGATTGTCTCACGTGGCCCTTCTTCTCAAACCCTTGAGGATTACTAAGTAACATACCTGGAGCATTTAAAAGTCCTCAGGCGCTGGAGAGATGCCAGGTTGCTATAAGCACTCAGGAGTCTCCCCCCCCAGCTCAAACCTGTAGAACTCAGCTCCAGTTGATACCCCCCTTCAAACAAGCACTAAATCCAGAGTTCGTTTTGGTTTGTGTGTAAACAGCACTATCACGTTTCAATTACTCTTTTTAAATGCTATCATCCTTTTTTCGTTCTTGCATTTTTAACTCATTTCATTTATTATGCTTTCTGATTCTGAAGTTTCTTACACGTCACCATGGTGGGCTTCTTGCTAAAGGGTGCCCAATGAGATTTTTAAATGAGTGTGCTTCTAAAAATAACATTAGTATTCTAGCAGCAAGAGAAATTAATCTGCAAAATAACAGAGACACACACTTCCCCCTGCCACAATAACTGCAGCCTCACTGTGGCAACTTACCTCAGCCGCACAGGGGGGAGGAGGAGGGAACTTACCTGGGACTTTGTCGACAGAGGCAAACACCGAGCGCTGCACAGCTGGGTCGCAGCTGCTCCGTCGGGCTTGCTCGTAAAACCGGAACGGCAGATGGGTCGCAGAAGTGGGGGCGTGCCCAAAGCCCATCACTTCACTGGCTGGCTGGACTGGCAGGTCTAGAAGAGCTGGGTTCAAGTAGATCACGTTTTAAGTTTCTGCTAAGAAACATCTGTCAAAACTGCACTAGCTTATAGTTAAGGCAGGTCCTTGAATGGAATGCCTGAAGTTCTCTCCCGTTTGCTGTGTGGAGACTGAGTATCTAAACGAGCTACAGATGCGCCTTCGTGGTTGATTCACTGTGACATGTGGACTGTGACTCCACCATGGCTCCCTCAAAGCTAGCTAGGACTAGGAAACCAAGAATAAATGATGGCTTCTCTTTTGTTTGGAAAAAAAGAAAAAGCAGGCCAGCATGCCCAAGTGGCAACAGAGGTTCCTACAGTGTTTTTTTTTTTTTTTAAACAGTTGGCAAGATGATGAAGAAGCCTGCTTGCCTGTTCACATCCACCAACATTCTGAAGGATTCTGGCTTATTCCAGATCGCTGCTGTCTCACTTTGATAAGAAACATGATTGTTTGCAGGGCCTTCATGCTGGAGAACAAATGCCGATTACTTCGAAAGTTAGGAAGACATTTTGAGAAGCACTCATGTTCAGAATTCCTTGGACATGGCAATATTTGTTTAAATGTTTTTTAATCCTGCTTTTCTACTTAAAAAGTGCTCAGAAAGGCAGCCTGAAAACAAGATGAGAGGCAGCAACTGACAGAGGGAGCAAACGTGGATGCCGTCAAGTATGGCAGGATGAGAGACTGATGGCCCGAGGCGTGTCCCTGAGAATTCTACAGTGGTTTTTTTTTTTTTAAACAGTTGGCAAGATGATGAAGACGCCTGCTTGCCTGTTCACACTGCAACGAACAGGCCTGTGAAAGGGCATGGCAATAAAGAAAGGGAAACTAGGGAGGTGAAGAGGTCATCCTCCCTTAAACCCGGCAGCTGTGAGAACTTAGTCTTCTATCAGACCCTACATTCACAGATGAAGACCAATGAGACACTGCAAGCAATAAGGGGACCAGGCCAGGTTACCTGCTATCCTTTGCATTTTCATACGCCGAGCCTGGATGCGACCCTTTGCTAAGCGCTGCTTTGCAATGATACAACGGATGTGATCTGAAAAAATGAAGGTCGCCTGTAGGATGGGGAACGGTTTGGAATGTGGGCTGGAAGCTGGCTTGTGTATGACAATATTCAGGGCCCGGCTGTCGTCTTCCACTCCTGTCACCTGCATGTCCTGGAAGGGGCAAGGAAGAAAACACATTTGGTTGGCAAAGACCCATGTTTAGAGCTGGGGGCACCAGCGAAGGCACCAGAGCTACATCGGCAAAAAACAACACGGCAGATTTACCCTTTTTTTACTCTAAACAAACACAGCCCCCTTGCTCCTCTCCTCTCTTTAGATGAATAGATAAGGCTAAGCGAAGGAGCATTAGCACTGGAGCATTAGATCAGGGGTCCAGGCTCAGAGACATCATACTGATTGTATTCACACAGCACATTGGCCTAGCTACTGACTTCACTCACTTCTTCTCTTTGCACCATGCACAGAACCGTAAGCCAAGCCAAGGGGCTGAACTTGCGTAACACACTAAGCCAGAGTTAACATTAACTGAGCTTCGGGCATTCTGGAAATGCAGCTGCTAGATCTTTTGCTGACCCGACTCCCTGTGCGGTATGGAGCCAGTCAATAACAGAGCGATGAAACCAAAGTACAATGCTGGTTATTCTTGTTGCTTTAAAGTCAATAAGCTGGAAGCTGATTAACCACAAACTAATGTTGGCAAGTCTCCTCTTGCATGGAACTGTACACACCAGCAGGCTACTCAGGCACATTAAAACAGAATGAGGTAAGCAATCTGGCTTAGGTGGGAACATGGTGAAGTAGAAGATGGAGGGGCAGAAAACAGCTTTCTCATGCTGCCACAGATTCCTGGTCTGAAAACATCCCATTTGTAGCCCTAAATCAATTGTTACTCTCATCCAGTTTTCCCTCCGAAAAACTCGGAAGGTGCCTCAGCACGTCTCCTTTTGGGAAGCACACAGGAGCTCAGTGGCTGCTCTGGGCAGGAGGCTCACCCCGCTTCACTTGGGGGAAAATGGTGCTCACCACAGGTGACTAAGGAAGTGCATTGCTTTAAGGGTGTTGTAGGCTCCACTCAGTAGAACATGTGCACACACACACACACACACACACACACATACAATCATTTTGGCAGCTGAAAATCTGAACCATCTGTTGATTTTTACGTTTATGCTCACCTGGAGAAGGCCAGCAAATTTAACAACTCCCCAGCCTAAGCGTCCAACATCTGGCTCCACCAAACTCATCTGGTAAATATCCACAGCCAGAAACCTCTGGACTTGACCACTATCTTTTGTGATCACGGTGCAGGCAATCAAATCACTGTTATCTGAAGGAAGAAGAGGAAGAAGAAGAGCCATTACTGAAGTAATTCTGTGGCTTTCCTAGAAGAAGAAATCAGAGTTGCATTCTTTCCAACTTTCCAACTGGTTTTATTGACATTCAAACCCCTTTACTTGGTGCATTTTATTCGCTTCCATTCCCTGCTGTTGAAATAACCCCTTTTGCGTGAAGGCCCACAAAGAAACCCACACCTGACAACCTGAGGAAAAGGCTGGCCTGCATGGGGATGCCCTGCCTTCCCCCAAGAAGAGCCTGCTGCTTAGCTAAGCATTGCAGACAGACTCCTACTTTGCTCAGCGTTGAGTAACTTTTCTCCCTTCTAAAATGGTACATCCTTCTCCTCTGCAGAAAGAAGAGAAGCTATGCGCCATGCCTACTGGGGTGCCCCTTCTGAAAGCTTCTGCACTGAAAACAAGCTGGGTGTATGATAATCTCAGTTTCTCTATTTTAAAGTTCATGGTTATCATCCAGAGCACAGAACATGGATAAACACTTTGCATCCGCTGAAGGAATGTTTTGGGTTGCAATCAATGGTTGACCAACATCTTCTGCCAGGAGACAGAGCAAAATAGCCACTGCAGCTTCTGCTTGACAGAAACTAGTTGGTGCACCATTTGAATGGTCCTGGCTGGCCCACTAAATGCCAGAGGTCTGTCTCTCGCTCCACAGAGACAGAACATATACTTAAACCAACAGCAAGTCTCATTGAGGCTGAAAGCAACTAGCCTCCACAGAACATAAATCATTTGGCTTCCGGGAAAAATAACCAAACTAGAATTTAATCTTTGCAATCACTGACATATCAGAGAGTTGGGAACTGCACGTTTAGTCAAGAGACACTGGGAAACTGAACTGCAAAATGCACTTTAATGCACCAGAGCTCAGTGGTGATTGTTCTATGAAACAGAGCAAGGTTACAGGAATAGACATTAAACCACATCAATGAGCGTTACTGAAAATTAAAAAAGAGGGGAGGGCAAAGCAGGTACTAATCAAACAATCAATAAACAACATCATTCCATTTGAAAGCCAAAAGCAATATTGTAATTTGATTTGTTTCAAGAACATCCATATAAAATAGTTGACAGATAAATTATAATTGCATTTCCAGTTAGTTTACAAGCTGCTTACTTAAATTCTGCTCTAGGAAGCTGTTTCCTGAGAAGACTGGGTCTAGAGCAAATCACAAATAAAATTCCTAGGAACACAAGAAATGGCACCAATGTAGTCTTGTCATGTCCTAGTGCGTGGGCAGGGAGCAGCATCCAGCCTGAAGGCCGCACCACCTTTTAGGCCTTCCCGGGGGGGGAGGGGGAAAAGGGAGGCCCGTTTAATTTCTTGCCCCCCATTGTTTTGCTTAAAAAAG